TTTTTGTCAATCAAAAGTTTACGGTGACTCGAGTTTGTCAACTCCCAAATCTGGGGGAACAAAAGTGCCTTTCGTCCTTGTGGAAATAATCAGTATTTTACTGTGGAAAAAACTTATATTTGGAATTTGAATATTTTCCAGACGCGATATGTGGAGGAAATGATACAGAGTACCTAAAATTATTGCTAACACGTGATATATTGCGGACGAATTGAATTAGGATAGGGATCCTAATATTTTAGGACCTAAAGTAAAGGAGACTAATAACGTATTTAATGTATCATATTTTTTAAAAAAATATTTTTTTGTTTTCAGAAGAGGAGAGAATTTAAGCTTTAATTAGAACTTATCTTTTATTTTTGAAATTGAAAAGTGTGATCTTGGTTGATTAGAGTAAGGATTTGCATTAACTAATTTGAGTAATTCGTGGGATTTGCAACGTAAAAATCAGTAAACATTTGTGCAAAAGTGGAGCTAAAACTGGGGAGTTTCCCCGACTATTCTGGATAAATAAATCAGTAATTTTTTTTTAATCTATGTGATGGCTTGATTTCTATTATTTTTTAGGGACTATTTTTTGCAATTCTGGAGAGCCATGTGTCAACAATTTTTACATAGAACCTATAGCTTTTGGAGGAAAAATATGGAATGTGGAATTGTCAAGTGTCCTCTAAGGTTTCTGCTTTAAGTAAGTAATAAATAATAAAGCGAATATGTCTGTACAAAAAAAAAAAGTTCACATTGAGTTTTTAAATATGTCCTGTTTTTAATACAAAACTCAAAACTTAATTTAGACTATTTTTCTGGAACGAAGGGAGTAACAAAGTTTAATGGAGTTTAACTATTATTAACATAATCAAATTTAAAATTTGAAAAGAAAATCAACAGAGTTTAAATATTAAGTTTTTTTAAAAAAAAATTGAAAAGTCTTAAGTAATAAAATTCACTAATAATTGTTAAATTATGAAATAGTTAGTAAAATTTGAGATATTATTAAAATATTAAGAAGATTAAAAATAAAAAAATAATCACATTGTTTTTTGCCTTGGTCCCTCGTAAATTTTATATGTTATTTTCTTAACAGATTACTTAAATTTCATAATTAAAATAGTTTTAACAAAAGTTCTCAAATTTAAATACTATCTTATCAACTTCTCAACTTTAATTAATCATTAACGAATTATCTTAATTATTTTTAGATTTTTTTTTGTTAGGATTTGGTAAAGGTTTTTTTTTATATATTTAGTCAATTCATAAAATTGTTAATACATAAAGGTAGTATCTATTTTACCTCAACTTAATTGGGTTTCTCAATCTCGTGACACATCAGCAATTTTCATCCTCTATTAATATATATAGATTAAATGTATAGCATTTACAATATAAAAAATTTAGTAAGTACTAACTGCATCTAGTGGTGAGATACCACCGTGATGTAAGTGTTCAACATGTTTCTTGCAAGTAATTAAAACCCGACTTCTGTTTCAATCGATTTTCACAGTGCTTGTATTGATCTTCTACTACGCCCTATCCAAGATGGAGGTTTTGAGACATTATACGTTTCCTCTGCTCATTCCTAAAACTCTCACCTTAATCTTCCAAAATCTGTATATACGTTTTACACGTATGCTAATCTTCTTCTGGACTAAATGACATTTTTTCTTTGGCTAAAAAAAAAACAACAACGTTTGAATGTTTGGTGCAAGAAGTATTAGTAATTTGATGAATATTTATAGAATTTTGGGGAAAAAAATATCAAAATCGTAGCCGTCATTCTAGATTTCATCATAATATTGGCTGTTGGATTGATTTTTATACTATCTTTCTTATCTTCTTCTTATCTAATTTACAACCATTAGATTTCTAGAATATGGAGATATATTATAATATGGATTAATAATACATAATCGATATTACATGAAGGAAACACTACAAACACTCAAAACAAATACGTTATTTTGACGACAAACTTAAAATTACATAATAAAAATTAACAAAATACATAATTAAAACTCACAAATAAAAACACTGCGACAATAAAAACAGCAATTAGGAAACTAAATATTCATATAAACGGCAAGTAGACGATTTTACAAATTAATTGTCACGACTGCCATAATAATCATTCAAATTGCCTTCGGTATATCCGATATCATTGCGAAATCCAAATTGTCCATTGTTTGATGGTGTTCTAAACTGTCCCTTGTTAATGATGATTGTCCTTGAGATTGTTCTTGTAATTCCCTTTTTCGTATAATTTCGAGCTGCTTTATTTCCCAATATCGACGAACCGATTCATTCAGAATAGAGTTCAAGTCCATCATCAACACTTTGTCCTCACGTTGTTTTTTTTTTATACTCTAAATTTTCTTTTTGTATTTCAAGTTGATGGTTTTGGCATTCATCTGCTGCCTTCATAAAATTAAGCAAAGCATCATTTTTTGCATTGAAAGTACTAAACATCTTACTCAAATGGTCTTCTGTTTTCTTCTTTAGTTTGGCTTTCTTCACTCCCATTGGGCATCGAGACGATGGTCCACTTCTGCTACCTCTATCGTATCTTTGTTCAGGATTAAAAAGTGACAACAATGGAGACTCGGGTGTTGGTTGTTCGGGATTAGGATTTTTGGATTCTGACGAGTTGTTGATTGTAGTAAACTCTTGAGAACCATATCTAGGTTGGGGGACATTAAATTTGCCAAAATTTTGTAGCAAATCAAATACATGGTCAAACTTAAATCCGGTTTCAAATTTTATTGTCTGAATAAATAACTCTTCGGCTTGTTTCATCTACAAAAGAAAATCGAAATAAGACTAACACACATAAGATTCCTTTCAATAAGAGCACATTGTGATTAAAATCAAATTGAAAACTGGAAAAAAAATAAAAATTATATACTCACTCGATTTCCAAGTTGTGTCCCACTAGGGTTGCGATTCTCGATCCGCTATAAACATCCATTAACTTCTTACAAATACTTTTGATTATACGCATGCGAGATTCGCATGATCTATAACTCCTTTCTTCTATGTTATTCTTCTTGTTCTCATTAGATGGGGAACTTACTCTCTCCCAGAATGAAATGGCCTTTTACTTGTTTGATTCAGTTGGATTTTCTGAAACATGGATGTAACAATTAACAAGAAGTACATCTTCTGCTCTAGTATAGTAACTTCCTTTTTAGAAGCCATTTTTGTTGTTGAGAGTGCTTGAAGGTATAGATTAGAAGGAAAAGTGGATGCAAATTGGAATGAAGTACTCAGATTATTTTATAGAGAAAAGTGTGTATATTGACCAATAATCAAAACAAACGCATCGGATTCCTTTTCTTGGACTTAAAAAATATTGGATTCCTTATTGTACCGACAATAAAATGTGATGGATTGAATAATTAACATCAATTAAAAATAAATGAATCAGATTCTTTCTTTTATTGGAACCAATAGTCACCATCAAGCCAACAAATGCTTTGTTATTGGAACGACTCTAAATGTATTTGTCAGCAACTTGGACCATTAAGTAAAAAAAGTAATGGATTCATTATTGGATTATGCATTTATCATCAACTTGGACCATTTACTAAAAAAGTGCGGGGAGTTTGATTCAAAATGAGTGTGGGAAGTGTTTTCGAGTGTTTATCGTGAATGCTTAGAAGTTACTCCCTCCGGTCCTTATTATAAGACATTTTGATTTCGTCCTAAGTTTCACCTAAGATAAATTTTTAATTGAAAAAAACCTTAAAAATATATTTTCACATCCGTTGTATTCTCATAATTATTATGAAATATTTTTAAAGTTTTTATTTCAATTAAAAAGACATCCTATGTGAAATTTAGGACGAAATCAAAATGCCTTATAATAAGGACCGGAAATAGTAGATCACAGGTGATAAATTATGTGGTTTATATCCAAGATTGTAGCTAGTGCAGGATCCCAAGTGATTATTGAAGTTGATAATCTCTGTATGGTTTAAATAATAAAAAATAAATATACATAGATATTTTGGGATTAGTTCAACATATTCGTATCATCGTATGTTGATTGGTTGGAATTGGTTCAAATAGCAAAAAATAAAGATATTGGCTGGTGGGAATTATTTTGTTGAAATAAGTCTTATATTCAGAGAGTCGAATTTTACAACATATTATATTATATCCTTAAGTGCAACTTATTCGGTAGACTTGCAGTCAATTGACAATCCATAGTTCAGTATAAAACAGTAATTGAAGTAAGATGTTGTCGAAGTTTCTTAATCATGAATTGAAACACATTAAAACGAATTTGTCAAGTTTATCACTCTTTTTCTGATTAAAAAAAGAAAATAATTCAAGTAATAATTTTTTAAAACTCCTACCGTTCCTAATTGACGCATACTGTGAAAATCAGCAATCATAATTTTCTATATTCATCTCTTAATGGTGATTAATCACGTGTTTATGCTAATTTTCAAAATCTACCGATAATTCTGATGGGGGTTACATGTTATCCTATTTAAAAATAATCTAATTTTAAAATATTTTATTATATATCTTCTTTAATAAAAAGTGATGTACAAATGTAACAATCGTAAAAACTTATAAAAAATTGCTTTGAAAATTGTGAATCAAAGTAGAAAATGGAGTAAAACAACAAAAAACCGAGCCGGGGAATTAAACCGGGCCGGGTATATCTAAATCAACAGCAGTCGGAGCCTAACGACACGTCATCAACCTCATCTCTGACTATTTCAGGTGACTTTCTTCTTCGTTTATACGGAGGAGATACAGCGGTGCCGCAAAAGCCCTCACAATTTCTCAAATCCCAACTGAAAAAATTGAGGGGGAAAAAGTTCAGAATTCCCAAACTATATCCACAATCAGAGGGCTTCTTATTTTTCCCTCCTTTTTTACGTTACATTTGAACCCTGAAGTAGTTGAATGTCACTGCGGGAGTGTGTGTAGCATACACTTTTGACTTCTCAATTTCACTCTCCTTTACCGCCGGGCGATTTCTGGACATCATGGCGTTCCAGGCTAAGAAACTCATCAACGACCCTAACGGTATCGATTACTCCCATCTTCTCCGATTTTCTTGTTTTGATTTTGCATTTCTTCATTTTTGTTGGGGAATTTCTTGATTATTCGTGGGATTCCTAGCTGTATATGGCGTTTGATCAATTGATTTGGTAGCTTGGGAGTTGAGTTGTTGCATTTTAGAAATGCATTGCGGAATTGGGGTTTTACTGTACTTTTCTTGGCGCTTAATTTTTTATTTTAAACTAGTAGTGGAAGATATTGTATCTATACTGCTGTTTAATAAGTTGCATAGTTGCTACTTGGTTTCATTTCTCTGTTAGAATTTTTACCTTGTTCGTTTCTTTCAATCTTGATTTTGTGTTGCATTTCCTAGCTGTATGTACACTGTTTGATCATTTGCTTTGGTAGTTGGGAAGTTGAATGGGAACATATATGAATGCATTGCGGAACTATGGGTTAACTGTACTTTGCTTGGCGCTGAATTTTTAGTTTAAGAGAATAAGGAAGGACTTTAATTTGTTGCTGTTTCTTTGGCGCTGATTTTTTGAATTAAAAAAATATTTAATGGAAAGAGTAACTCTATTTGTATTGTCATCCTGGTACACACTTGCGTTCCTGGAATTATACATCTGCTTTCCTGTGATAAGTTGAATAGCTACCACGTGGTCTCATTCTTATTTAAAATAGAGAATTTTGTTTGTTGTGGGAAGTTGCTGGAAATTACTTAATATTGGTTACATTTTTTTTAAAAAAAATTTAATTGCAGATGTGGTGACCGAGTTTATTGAAGGTCTTGTTGAAACATACCCTGGTTTGCAATATTTGGATGGATTTCCAGAGGTATTGGCTTTTTTAATGTCTTTGCTTTTCCACGTGTCTTTGAACTTTTAGAAAATGAATGTTTATTCTAGACCTGTGCTATATTGATCTTTATTTGCTATTGGAAACGTAGGTTAAGGTGGTGCTAAGAGCTGATGTGTCAGCAGCTACATATGATAAAGTTGCCGTCATCTCAGGTTTGTGACTATTTTGACTTCATGTTAGTTTTGACCGCTGCATCATGAAAATGCTGGCTATCTTAGAAAGTAATTTATTACCATTTCTTACAGGGGCAACTATTGATTATTTTTCTTACCATTTCTTTCTTTAAAAAGTAATTTACTTCTCGGAGATTCTTATATTCCTGAATTCACACACATTTTTGCACTCACACATATACACAAATTTATGTAACTTTTTTTCAGATTGACTTTAACATATTTCGGTAGTCAATTATCTTGACTCACGTAAAACAGGAAATTAGGTGTAACATATGATTTATTTTCTATTTTTCGTTAAAGAAACAGGAAATAGGGTAACATATGATTTCTGAATGCATGTAATATCATTTTACAGGAGGGGGAAGTGGTCACGAGCCAGCTCATGCAGGATTTGTGGGAGAAGGGATGCTAACAGCTGCCATTTGCGGAGATGTTTTTGCCTCTCCGCCTGTTGACTCAATTCTAGCGGTATTGTAGATTCCTACTTAGTTGCAATTGGGAAGATTTTACCTTTCTTTTCCTTAACTTTTCTTTATTTGTGAAACTTACTAGATTTTGCTTTGCTCAAACTTCAGGGCATTCGAGCTGTTACTGGCCATATGGGATGCCTTTTGATTGTTAAGGTTTTTTTCTTATCTCTAATATTGGTTTAATATGGGATACCACATTTTGATTTGGTGCGTGCGTGCCTGCTTGTGCTATAGTTTCTGATTTGAGACTGTATAATGGTCTTGACAGAATTACACTGGAGATAGGTTGAACTTTGGTTTGGCTGCTGAGCAAGCAAAATCTGAAGGTTACAAAGTAGAGGTAGACATCAATATGCAGTCCACTGAAGTTGTTTTTTCTTTCTTAAAATGGACTCGGATTTGAAGTTTGTCATCCTAAATTATCATATGCTCAATTTCGTTATTTTTACAGATGGTTATTGTTGGTGATGATTGTGCTTTGCCTCCCCCAAGAGGAATTGCTGGAAGAAGGGGTTTGGCTGGGACCATTTTTGTTCATAAGGTCTACCACTTTTTTCTTTTATTTTCTTTTTTTTTTGTTTCTCTGTTAGCTACTGTATATGTACCCCTTACATCAGCAAATGGCTCCATAATTAAGTAGTAATTCCTGGTTTTGGAAACTAATGAATCTACCTGATTGATTCGCTATGGCAATTGTCATGTTTGATGCTGAAAATTTGATGATTCGTGTCCTTAAATTGCATGAAACTGGACAAAAATACCTGTCTCCTCACTGATTTGTCTTGAAATACAACGTTGATATGTATTGTTTCCATTCAGTTTGTGTAGTTTTGTTGTCCAATTTGTAGTTGGCTTTCTAGCTAATTTTGTTAATTTTCAAATGTGCCATGAAGGTCGCCGGAGCAGCAGCAGCTTCTGGTCTCTCTCTTTCTGAGGTTGCTGCTGAAGCAAAGAAAGCATCAGAAGTGATTGGCACAATGGGTGTTGCATTGTCTGTCTGCACTCTGCCAGGTCAAGTTACATCAGATCGTTTAGGTCCTGGCAAAATGGAGCTTGGACTTGGGATTGTGAGTTTTACACTGCTCTAACTTAAGCAAATTAGATAACTTGTTTCCATTCAATGGTTGATCTTGGATTCTTGCTCCTATTCCAGCTTATCATTTGTTCTTAACTCTTGCAATTGCAAGTTCATATCACTACTTAGAGATGCTTATAATTGAAGAAGCTGCATATGGATTATGGAGGTTATGAGTATTAAGGTGGAAAGAACTGTTAGGTGTTGAGTTCAACATATACATTCATCCAAATTCTATGCTTGGATTATGCCATGCTATTTATTGTTGTCTATAATTAAATTGCCTATCTGTTCGGATGGTGCATGGACCTTTTGTTTTTCGGCAAGCTGTGTTGGCAGGTTATAGGCTTCCTTGTTCATATGAATTATTCTGTAGGTCAGTGGAAAGGTAACTAATCGTAGTGGAACCTGGATTCTAGGTGTACTGTGAGAAACTTCAGATAATCGATCATAGGGTGTGTAGTATATACTTTTTTGTGATCAGTCCTGTAAAAAATTATTCTTTCGTGCTTTCTTCAGCATGGAGAACCTGGCGCTGCTGTTGCTGACCTTCAGCCTGTGGATGTGATAGTTTCTCATGTTCTGCAGCAGATATTGTCACCGGTATGCCAATGTCTCATGACATCCTTGATCTTTAATTTTTATTCCATATGAACATGTGAGGAAAAGTTTAATTTATACTGGTATCTTGGAGTTCACAAATTTTGTGCCTGTAATCGTGATACTTCATAGAACCAAGTGATAATATTTCAGGTGTCTGAAGTTATGAAAATATCTTTATAATCTCCGGTTAATATGAGCAGAAAATCCAAAAAATATACGAGCTGGAAAAACATGAATTACTACATTTACATCAGATTTCTGCAGACAGATATAGTGTTCGAGCTTGTCCTTTTAGACTGATACGAACAAGCTTTGGCCAAGATGTTATAACTGACTCTAAAATTTTCTAGTTGGGACCTCATTTTCGTATGTTTGTTGCGCTTGAAAAGATTCATTGTATGGGACACTTCTACATTATATGCATCGAAGCGCCATGGATTGCTGTAGATGAGAAGGAATCTCTGTAATGTGGCCTAGGAAAAAAGTGCGATGATAGAAGATAAATTGATAAAACTATTTGATTAGGGTAAATTGTAATCTTCCTAGAGATCATATCTGTTGAGTTTATCTCCTTTGCTGTTGATAAAGCCTGCATTTAAGCGATGGTAAAATTAGGAATTTGGTAGAATGGGGTACCTTCTTTGAACTAAATAGTTGTACTAGTTAGAAGGGTCATAGATTTTGTTCTAGCCGAGTTAGCCTTCTTTCAGGAAGTTCAATCAGTTTTGAGGGAGGATGCAGAAAATAACTAGCTCTGGGGTGAGATAAAAAGCACATGATTCCTCGGAATCTGAAGTTCAAGTACATCACATTTCATTAAGTATGCAGTTTATGTTGTGTTTTTGTAGGCTTCAACAACTCTCTTGCTTTGTCCACTAATTTCCTTTAATGATATGTTCTAGGCATTCGGTACCTTCATTATTTGCCATAATCAATAGTATCATTATGGCGTTTGTAGCATTATTTGTCTTGTAGTCTCTTCTTTTCTTGCCTGCCTCCTCCTCCATTCCGAAGAACTGCTCATGTGCACCCATATTGAAGCAAATTTGCATGTATTGAAACTGTTCTTTTTGGTTATTCATGTTGTTTGAAGAATTATTTTTGATTATTGGAAGGATATCATTGCAGGAGACTGAATATGTTCCTATTACTCGAGGAAGTAGAGTTGTGCTGATGATCAATGGGTAAGTAGATCTTTGATCTTTTGATACTACATTCCTTCTTTCCTAGGCAGTTCAAATTATTAGTTGTTTTTAAGCATCTAAGTTGTGCGCCACCTTTATGTGTTCATGTTTCATCCTTCTTTGTGGTATTCTTATAGGGTATCCTTTTTGTGAGCGTTGGGAGATAAAACTCTCTTCTTTACTTGAAGTCGTACCTGAATGTAATCTTACGATGGATACTTTTCGCTCCGAATTCCTGACACGGTGCATAACAGATTTTAAAAGATGTTCCTATTCCTAGTCTTAAATGCTGTTTTGGTGTGGATGTACGCAATAAAACCTGTATTATCTTTCTCACTGATTTGTCTTCTTCACTTCCTGACTTATTCTATGAACTGTATATGATAGGTTTTGAAATTCAACCAAACAACACTTCCAGATTATTAAGATGACGTTTCAGTTAAAAATTTCTTTTGTTATATCCTTGCCAAAGGAGCAGGATTTTTTTTCTGTTTAGTTTTAGCACTGTTAATTTGTATTTTGATCACAGTTGGTATTTGTGAAATCAACCCCCGTAATTTTATATTCTTCAGATCGGTTTATGCTTTTTAACTACAGATTAGGGGCGACTCCTGCTATGGAATTGATGATTGTAGCTGGGAAGGCAGTGCCTCGGTTACAGCTAGAACATGGACTAGCTGTTGATAGGGTGTATACAGGCTCATTTATGACTTCCCTTGACATGGCAGGTTTGTTTCTGTTTTTGTTTCTGTTTTTCTTTTTCTTTTTCTTTTTCTTTTTTTTTCTCTTTTTTTGGTTTTTCTTTGCATTGTTATTTTTCCTTAAATCATTTATGGTTTTTCTTACCACGAGTTTGCTGCTATGCTAGGATTTTCAATTTCGGTAATGAAATCTAATGAGGAAATTCTGCACCGCTTGGATGCTCCTACGAAGGCGCCCTGTTGGCCTGTTGGAGCTGATGGTAGGGTTGACATCAGCGGTTACGTTTGTTTGTTATTCTTTGAATCTTCAAAGTAATTATTGCCAAAAGCAGCCATGTTATGATCCTCGAAACAGGGATTGTTTTATTTTCCTTATTTAAGTTCGTTGAGAATTCATGTGGTTTGCAGGTAATCGTCCACCTGCCAAGATTCCTGTCCCTCTTCCACCATCACTTTCAGTCAAGAATGATGAGGTCTGTTTTACGTATTCTATTTCGAGCTTTGACAGTTATGCTTTACTTAGTGATTGTACATTTGCCATGATTTTTTCCCCTCCATTTCCTGAGCTTATGTGATAGTAGTGGATAAGATGAAGTAAATTATTTGGTGGGACCACTCTATTAGGACTTTTTATTTGCCGAAGTTTCATCGGCATTTTGCCATTTCCTACTTTATGGTAGATATAGCCTGCTGTTGGAGTACGGCATTTCATTAAATAATCCATTTCCCTCATATTATCAATTGGGAGGTACAGTTCTATTTTGGACAAAGTACAGATTCAGCTTCATGTTATGTGTAATTACTACAAGTTCAATTTACCTTTTTAGCCAATGTTCCTTCTTCCGACCATGTCAAAAATTCTGATAAAAATTTAGTGCAAAGAATTGTGAAATCTTTTGGTTCCTTTAAATTCATTGTCCTCGCAAGGAATAAGGTTTTATGGAATATAAATGGTTGTTCTCCATGCATTGATATTATATCGTAACATCAGAGATTTTGCAAAGTTGGAAGTAAACAATAGCCTTCGTTTGAATTTTTTTTTAAAAAAACTGAACCTTTTATTGTGCTGTTTGTTCTCATCACTTATCAGACACTGAGTCGGCCCGAACAGTTGAATTCTGTGGGTTATCTTCTCGAGGTGGCTATTGAAGCAGCAGTTGCTGCACTTGTCAATATAAAGGACAGCTTGAATGAATGGGATAGCAAAGTGGGTGATGGAGATTGTGGTTCCACAGTAAGTGTCTTTCAACTTTGTTGGTTCTAATTTGCAGGATTGATTGCTTAAGAGGTTTTATTGGGATACTTCAGATGTTTAGGGGTGCAACCGCAATACTGGAAGACATGAAAAAGTAGTGAGTTTCCCGGAGCTGCTTTTTGCCATCTTTTGTACCTTCATTATGATTTTGAAAGCATTTCAAGTTCAAGTTATCCTTTGAGATTTTGCTAGACGGTGTATTAATGTTAAATGTCCTGAAAAAGAACATGGAATCCTGGTTTGTGTTTCTGTGTCAAGTCTTAGAGATTTGTTTGTTATTCATGCGTCCTGTGTTATTTGGCTTGCATTGCACATAGATAAAACTATCTAAGTTTTGGAATTCCTTACTTCGTTTCTTGGCTGATTATTTTTATTTCAATGTATGATATGAATGAACTGACTTTCTGGTGATTTCATTAGGCTAGTGCATCTTATTTAATAGTGACTGCTACCAAGTTGTGGAGGCAAGCTTTTATATTTGTTGTCTACAGCTTACTCAATACTTGTCTGTATCATCTAGCCTCTATGACATGCTGTACTGGGGTTTACCTGTAAATTTCTTGCTATGTAACCCACAATATATGCTTGTTACACACCTTAAATTTGCTGCTTTCGCTATGTGCTGCTACGGATTTAAAATTATTGGTCTGAAAATACTATTCATTTCACAAGAATGTGTTTGTGGCTAAATTCAGAAGGGAATGTAGAAATACTAACCACTGGTAATGCATCTTACTGTGATGCAACAGAGGCACAAACCCCAACCCCCACATAAATTATGAATAAGCGCATTGAGGATCGCCACAGAATTTGCAGTATTTTTTTTCTAGCTCCAATTTATCATCATCCAGGTCTTCACTTGTTTTCTCACCTCGACTGCTACTGGTTGCAGTTATCCCCTCAATGACCCTGCTGAAACAGTTAATGAAATAGGATCTTCCGTTCGAAGAGTGATGGGGGGAACAAGTGGTATCTTGTATGGCATACTCTTTCTTTCATAATTTGTTAATACTCTTTCTTTTCTCCTCTGTTCCATATATATCCTTAAAGTTTTGGTCTAGTCCTCAAGTAGTAAAACTGAATTTTTGGTGTCATTTCTAATTGTAGATATGACATATTTTTCAAGGCCGCATATGCACACTTGAAGGCAACCGGAAAATCAGATATCTCACCACTGCATTGTGAGTTGCCTTTCAAACTTCTGAGTTCTCTCATATCTTGGCACTGGACTATTTCAACTAAACTTCGTCATGGTTCAGGGGCTGGTGCTCTTGAAGCTGCCATTGCTGCAGTCAGTAAATATGGAGGAGCCAGTGCAGGTTACCGCACCTTGTTGGATGCTCTGATCCCAGCTTCGACAGTTCTTAATGAGGTTTGTAACTGTTTTTACTAGAGGTGATAGAGTTGTCTATAATTTAGTTGTCCCAGTTTCCTTCAATAAATTCCAAATCGTCTTACAGAGGTTAGCTGCTGGGGATGATCCAGTGGAAGCATTTGTCGGTTCTGCTGAAGCAGCTGTGGCTGGAGCGGAGTCAACTAAGAACATGCAAGCTCAGGTGACAATCTCTATAGATTTTCTGACCTTTCGTCATTATGTTCATGCCTCTGAGTTCCTATCCCTTAATAACAGTATATATTATTGACATGTTGCTAAAACATGAACCTTAAAGTGTCTGATATGTCAGAATAGTATGTGAACAGACTTAGATTTGTTGTGCGGGATTTGTGCAACTTGTTTGTGTTGTAACCTGATGACAGTGATCAGAATAGTATGTGAACAGACTTAGATTTTGTTGTGCGGGATTTGTGCAACTTGTTTGTGTCGTGATTTTGTTGTGCGGGATTTGTGCAACTTGTTTGTGTCGTAACCTGATGACAGTGATCATGCATGCTTGAAATTTTGGTCATTCTAATTTTTGTTACATCTGAACTTTCTCATAAATATTTGAAACACCTGGGAAATCTGAAGAATAATGATATTGTTCACTTTTAGTGGTATCTGTTTCTTCTTGATTAGGTAGCCAAAGATGAAAGTTGTTATCAAGGTTAGAATTTGTCCACCCATCATAAAAACTAGACAACTTGACCAGTTTTATGGTTGATGAAATTTGACTGAAATGACCATCAGAAAACTAAGTTAGTGATCAAGAAAAGCTTTCCCCCACTCGAACTTCTTTCCCCTCTTTGGCACCAGTGCTGTATTAATAACCATTTGCTTGTGACGTCACTTGCATCCTTCAGCTATCGTCTATAAGACTAATTGTGATCTGTTGTAGGCTGGTCGTTCATCATATGTCTCTGCAGAGATTCTTTCCTCCGTCCCAGATCCGGGCGCAATGGCTGCAGCTTCATGGTATAGTGCAGCGGCCTTATCTGTGAAGGGCAAGTACCGAGCCTCATAGCCACATGTAGCTGGCTCATTAACCATTATTTTTGCTGTGGGCTTTATTTTTTGATAAGCAAGCAATCTTTTGGTCGGAATTAACTCCACCTTGCCTAACAAATTCTGCCTTCCGCTTATGCTGTGCATGCATAATGCTGTGACGGGCAATACAACTGAGATCTGTTAGACAATGTAATATCATTAGGGTTCGAAGGTGTAGCGTCAAATATTACTATGTTAAAACACGTTGGTCCCTTTTATCGAATCATAAACCATCATACTTTGCATTCAAGGTTGGCGATGAGTTTGCTTGTGCTTGTGCTTGTGCTTTTTTTTTAGCATGTTACTTGTTGTGGTCTCACTCTTGCATGTTTGATGGTGATGATGGTAAATGTTGATGGATTAATCTATATTGGTCTTCTACTTGGTAGTCTTATATCGGTCTAGTTTGAATTTTCATTTTAATGCAATATGTGGTGAGTGTGAAAATCTAAACTGAACAATTATTTTGGGATATTTTGAGATAGAGAGTAACAAAAATTTGTTTGTAGTTTTTGCTAACCAACAACATATGCACGCAGTAAGATTAATGAAAAGGATATAAAAAAAAAAAAGGAAGAAAGGTATCTGGAAGTGCTGAAAACGTGCTTGTGTATAATTAACTATTTTTTAATTTCAAGATTTACCTAACTCTTTTTTAATTAACTTAAACAAGCCTCAAATTGCGAATTGGCTTCCTTGTACCAAGTACTAACCATTCGATTTGGTAGAGTATTTTTTTTGCGTAAGAATGATGAAAGAACTATTTTAGGGTGAATGAGTGTATACATCCCAATGTTTATACCAGTTAGTCAATTCATCCCAATGTTTTAAAATTAATTAATTATGTCCCAAAGTTATTAAAATTTGATAAATTCATCCCATGACTTGTAAAATATAAAAAATGACCTGATACAACAGGTAAAAGTATATTAGGCCTTATATTCATTCTTTTTTTCTCGCATTTTCTATTGTTTGTCATTTTACAGTTCATTAAAAACAAAGAAAATTTTTAGATAAAAAAAACTCGAAAACACTTAATTAATTAATAAAAAATTCAATTCATCACAAACGAAATAACTTATAATTTAGAAGAAAATCAAAATTAATTAATTTTTGAATACAAATATATCTATGTGAAATCTTAATCACTCTATTTTTACACTCAAAATAAAGATTTTTTTTAAGGAAGTTTCTTAAATTTTATTAAAAATTAAGATGAATTAGATTAAGAAAAATATTAGATTCATTAATAATTAATTAAATTTTTTAATTTCTCCATTTATTAATGTTGTTTTTCTTTGAATAAACTAAAATAAATTTAATTTAAAAAAATAGAAATAAAACCGTTAAATAGGGGATCTAAATGATTTTTACATGTTATACCAGGACATTTTTTTTTTGGTTTGCAGGTTATGGGATGGATATGCTCAATTTTCATAACATTGAGACGTAATTAACAAATTTTAAAACTTTGGAATGAATTCAGAAGCAGGATATAAACGTTGGGATGTATACAATAATATTCTCAACTATTTTATCAAGTTCGCATGTAACCTAACAAGACAAGTCCACATTCTACTTGTAATTTCTTCACCTCGTTTCATAGTTTCTACCAGCATATTGTCATATATTATTTTAGAATGTAAAAATTAATTCAATAGTTACAAAATTAAATCTCTATTACATAAGGCATTTTCCAAATACAATTAGTTTCGATTTGTTATTACAATATATATATATATATATATATATATATATATACACTATTAGTTAATTCTTTATTCCTCTCATGGCCTCATAATTTGGAAATGTTAATGTTATTTGCTGCGTATTTTCCATTTTAGTATTATTATGGTTCATGGGGGCTAATTTCTCTGGACCGACAAGAGGGCAAAAAAAAAGGGAATATTATCAGACTTTTCCAACCCCGCGTAGGGGCCCCACTTCGATCATTACCACGTTTGTTCCAGCCGTGTTGAAACATTTTTAGATCTACTAAAACCTCAAAATTATTTATTTATGAAGAGAATTAAATTTGTTTTGGACCAAATAAATGCAATTAACCAGAGGTAAAAAAAAAAAAAAAAAAGGGTATAAAACGACAGTGACGAATCACGGAACGGTAAAAGAGTGAAAAGAAATATCTCTATCTCTACACACAAAAAAATTCACTCGGTCAAAAGATAGTGGACCCCACAAGACACGGAGAATTTTCACCTCTCCGATTACATGATACTAATAATATATATAGGAAGGAATCCATCTTCATTAAGGCGAAAAGATCAGAACAATAACGCCCATCAGTAGTAGCTAAAGAGAGAAAGAGTGACTCAGAAACGGTTCTTCTATTTTCATCCGGTAGGGTTTTGATCTCTGAGCTTTTTGTGAGAACGATAATGGCCGAGCAGTTGACCGAGGAGCAGATCGCTGAGTTCAAGGAAGCTTTCAGCCTCTTTGATAAGGACGGCGATGGTAATTCTTCTTCTTCTTCTTCTTCTTCTTTGACTCCATATCCGAAATGATTTTGTTTATTTTCATTTTGTTCGAAGGTTTTACTTTCGTAGCAGGATCTGTTCGTTGTCTGTAATTTTGATTCGTTTCTCGCTTTGTCTGTGTAATTTTTGGCGCGATTTTAGTTTGTTTGGTTTGTTTTTTTGGAAGATCGGTTGTTTTTTCCACTTGGTTTTTAGTTCTTAGTTCGATTTTTTTTGGTAGTTCGAAACTGAGTTTGAGCTTTTGTCGTATGGATTTGTGTGTTTTTGATGACGATTTCAACTCTCTTTACTTTATTTTTTTGTGGAATTTTGCTTTAGAGGAATTGAATCCCTTGGTTTGATGTAGTAGCTAGTTGGATTGTTGTTTTGGCATTTTCGTTCTGCAGACGATTTTCTCAAATATTTTTGCTTGTTGTGTTTTATGTAATAGTAATTAGCAGAGAATTTATGATATTGGATCTGTGGTTTGACTTTCTTTTGGCTTTATTGCCGGCGCGGTCAATTGGTTATATTGAAAGTTTTGTTGAATCTTTTATCTATGCTCCACTAGGATGTGTGGAGGAAAAGTAATTTTTTTGAGTATAGTAAACCCTAATTTATATTAACTTGAAGATCTTATGACGGCAAATTTAGTCATGTGGTTTGACCATGATGGAAGTATTGTAGAAAGCAGCTGGTGGGGGTGATATTGCTGCTGAACTTGGGTTTCTTATCTGAAATATCTGAAGCTTTTTGCTGAATCAATAATCATTTGGGTACTACCCTAATAAAAGAGAGTTTTGATCCTTCTTCATGGCTAATATTTACTGTGCTTTATTACATGACTCCTAATTTTTCATTTGTTTTCTCATTGTCAGTGAGGTTATTTACTTATATAGGTGGGATACAATTTCGTTTATCTTGTCAGTATCTCGTCCCTAACATACAGCTATTATTGTTATTTCTAAATTAAGGTTGCATCACCACCAAAGAACTGGGAACCGTGATGAGATCACTGGGCCAGAATCCCACTGAAGCTGAACTCCAGGACATGATCAATGAGGTTGACGCTGATCAGAATGGAACCATCGATTTCCCTGAGTTCCTGAATTTGATGGCTCGCAAGATGAAGGTAAATGTCATTTTGTATCCGATAATTTTATTCGAATGTGGGATGTCTCTGTTGTTTGGGCACAAGTCTCAGTTATTGTGGGCTTAGATATCCCTCTTCTTGGTTTTTGAGGCTATTACATCATTACATGTTATATGCTTCTTTTATGTGTCAAAATCGTGTTGAATCTATCTTATTGCCAAGCAGTCACTAAATCACCTTAGCTGCACTCTGCCATTTAGCTGTAGATCCAATGGGATTCTTGTTTTGCAAATTGTGTTATTAAATATTGAAGATGCTGTTATTCTGTAATGACAAATGTCATATTTTGTTCATGAAGGATACTGACTCTGAGGAGGAACTTAAAGAAGCTTTTAAGGTCTTTGACAAGGATCAGAATGGGTTCATTTCTGCAGCTGAGGTATCTAGTATTCTATGTTTTTTGCAGACTCCGGTGCTGTTATAGTGCTGCTGTTTTCGAATTAAAGTGGATGAAATGTCTATGTACTGACGACGTGTCCTTGTTGCAGCTCCGCCATGTAATGACTAACCTTGGGGAGAAGTTGACTGATGAAGAAGTTGATGAGATGATCAGGGAAGCTGATGTTGATGGTGATGGTCAAGTCAACTATGAGGAGTTTGTGAGGATGATGCTTGCTAAGTGATAGATAATGGTTTTCTGTCTCTTCAAGAGGGTTCCAAGTTAAGTAGCTTTAGGGATACCATCTCAACCCCTTTGGTCTCAAGACATTTCCTTTTGCTTTCAGGATCTGGAGATATTTGACTTGGATTATGAAATTCTATGTTCAGTTTAAGACAAGCTTTTGCGTTTCGTCTTTTGTAAACTTTTGGCGCTGTTCATATCTTTCAGAGATTCCTCAGTACTGATAATTTGCAGGAGAAATGGTTAACCGGGTCATTTCTAGATCAGAAGTTTTTGGCCTATTATTTGGGTGATTGAAATTCCAAACTTCAAAAGAATGTGTTCTAAAACTATGCAAGAATTTCACGCTTAGCTCGATATTTATATAAATTCCTAGCCGAATGTGGTGAAATCTTGACAGCACGTCATTACACTTCATTCCCTTTTTAGTCCTAGGGCCAGGATGTGTCATTTGAAAACAAAAAATCCCAGGAAACCCCAACTTGGGAGTTTTTGCTTCAAGTTAACATCATAAAAATGAAGCTGCTGGTAAGAAACTGGCCACATCTAGGTTTCATTTTGATATCATCGTCTCTATTCATGCTCTGCGAACTATTTTCAAAGCAATTTCCCCAAACCGCCAGCGTACCATAAACTCTAGCAGGCCCTAGCGATGGCCATGGTGTTAACCACTTCCCCCGCCTCATCAACTCGCCCTTCTCTGCCCAGGATGTCGACTATGCAACTGTAACGCTCTAGCTTAGGCTGCGTCTCATAATCCCCCTAGTCACTCCCTCTGTCCCAAAATTATTGTCCAGTTTGAGATTTCACTTTTAGTACAATTTGAACTAAAAATGAAAACTCAAACTGGACAATAATTATGGGACGGAGGGAGTAAAAGATTTGCAACCTTTTGGTCCACCAATTCTACATGTGAGCGTGCATACATCACCATTTGCTTGAATTTAGTTCCCTCCTAACCAAACACAACCATGTGCCCAAATCCTCTAACCCGGTGCTCCCATATTAGGGCAGACAATAACCAACACTACTAAGTATTAACTTTCCTTCATTAGGGCTTATGCCAGACTTGAATTTGTCTAAATAAGTAAACTACTTCTAGCAACTCATTAGTCCGGCAATTAAGATTAACAGCATTGGCATCAAAGCTCAGATCAGGTGCACTAATCTGATAGAGAAACCAATCTTCAAATCTTGAACATTAACCAATGAGGCTTGAACACATTGATCATTAGGTGGATTAGGAATTTCAGGACGTCGGAATGCAGGGCTTTCCCTTACTGGAACCAAAAGCGATCACTGGCTGCTCCTCCATCACAAGCCTAAAACAGAGATTAATATGTACAATTATTACGTACTACTTGGTGCATACTAAAAAAAAAAAACTGAAAATGCCTTTTAATTTCGCCTTTTACTTCAAGGCAGAAAGTGATATCTTGAGAAATTATAGAGACTTTGATTTGGTTCTTGAGGATAAGAAATGGTTGTGGGGGAAGAAGATGAAACCTAGAGGATTCAGGTTTAACAGGGTAGGTATGCAGGATCAGCCCTGTGGTGATCATTTGAGCTTCAACAGTTTTGCATTTCTGCAAGAATCTGAGGATTGAGTTATTTGTTTTAAATTAGAGGAGGGATTAATTCATGTAAAGTCATGTGCTCTGAATGATTGTGAATTTGTGATCATCTGATGACAATTTCATTCAAAGAAGGTGAATCCATTTTGTTTGAAAGTTGCCTCATCATAAGCATTCTTCTGCTCCATTTTGGATTAATTGGAAAGTAGTTTCGAACACCAAATGCATTATATATCAACTAAATAAATAAAGTGGTTCTGCATGATTTCTACTCATATTCAAAGAAATGGTCTGGATGGTTAAATTAAAACAAAAAAAAAAAAAAAAATTCTATATGTGAGGGGGGTGGATATCATAGTACCATTATTACAAGCAAAGGTTTCGTACAAAACTTTCAAGCAAAGTCATCATAATTGGATTAAACAACTTCAAAAACTCCTCAATAGTAATGCTTCCGCTTAGCTTAATAATAGTTAGTACACTCTGTTAAACTAATTTTTGTTTTACTAAAAAGTTTAAATCTAGAACAATGCTTCATTTACTGTATGTGAGTAAAAATACTGATTTTTCATTTCTATTTTAAGTTTGAAACTTTGAGTTATGAATTTTTTCCACCAAAATCTTTTACATTCTCTTTAAGAACTTCTCAAACATGTTTTCATATGGCACTAAGAGATCATTTATGATTTTAACCTTTTAAAGTTTAATAGGTTGAGTGGAAGAAACACACATATGTACTTCAACCAAAATTAGGTGTTCTAATATCTTGAGAACCATAAAAAAAGGTCTCAAATCTATTGATCACTTATCCCATCTAAATTATAGTTACTTTTGTCAAGAATGAACGTCATGCAGGAAGGGGGAAAAAAAGAAGAGGAAAGTTTGAAAAGTATTTGTGTTTGTTTTCACATAGTGGAGGCTTTTTTCTTTTACCATTTTCAATCTTTTACTATAAGTTATTGTTTATATCACATTTCTACTTGCAAAAACACAATATAAAAAAGTTTCAAATGGTGTTGAGATTCAAGATCATTCAACAATACTACATTACAAGAAGCAGCTGTTTCCCACATTGTCTATGTGATAAATGACAGACAATAACTTTAAGGCAAGAGGGACAAAAATGGATGCTTTTGAAGCAACATTTGTTTGGAACTTGGAAGCAAGCAACATTTAAACACTTTCTCTTTTCTCAATTCATTCAATTGCAAAATTTTTTTTACCTTTTTTTTCAGTATAGTTTATTTTGTTAAACTAAAATACGATAAATTGGAGTATTTAGTTTCGGGACAGAAGAAGTATCAGTACACATCAAATGTTAATGTTAATCTTAGTTGAGAGGCACAAATGATGTATTGAATTGGTACTATTAATTTATTATTATTATTATTAAGGAGGTGGAATATATGTTTAAACTTGCACTTAAAATTCATTCTCAAATTCCAATGCCATTTTTTTTGACATTTATTTTTGGGGTGCAACTTCTTCTTCCCACACTCTTCAGCCCTCTCTCAGTCTCCACAGGTACAAATCGGGAACCCTAACCTGCCTGCTCTTCCGTTTCCTTCTTCTTCAGTCCTCAGTAAGCTTCTTTTCCCCCCTTTTTTTATTTTGAGAATTTTGAATCTTTTTTCCATCGTATCAGCATTATCGGCATTGTTGAATTTCCCCGTAGAGATCTGAAAATTTGAATCCCGGATAAGAAAAGTTTTGATTTTTCAGATTTTGCATCCCCGTTATGTTAGCATTTCAAAATCTTTAAACGGAAATGGATAAAATGTCTGTTGGTATGGATTAGGATATGCATTTATGAAATTTGCTCGGTGATGGTCTTTATAGATTGATTGTGTTTGTTTTTTGTTTTCTGTCTTTTGTAGGTTTTTCTGTAACGATGACAGTAATGTTATATTCCGTGGGGGATTGTGATGTTTGATGTAGAAATAAGCTTGAACGAATAGCTGATGTAATCTTAGATTTAGCATTGTTTTTGTTGTTGTGCTGTTGCGGTTGTGCTTCTTGTGATGGATGGAAATGGCAGTCTAAATTTGAGAAATTGGGGCTTTATGGAGCCTGAGCCGGCCGCCTTTAAGGGAAATTTAGGCCTGCAGCTTATGTCTACCATGAATGAAAAGCCCCTTTTTGGCGGTGTAAGGGACCATCACCATTATCAGTATCATCATCCTTACCAGGCTCATTCAACTGTTATGGCGCCATCCACCAATGGGGGGCCGTATCACCACCATCGAGTTGGTGGGTTTTTGGAGTCGTCCGCTCCGATGGACTACATGAGAGAGGTTTATAATAGGGAAAAATATATGAATGTTTTAACAAATAACCATCAGAACCATCCTCAGTTAAGTTATGGGGCGTTTCCGGAGACTTCTTCCTCTCACTCTGTTGAAATGATTCAGCAGAGTAATTTTTTGGATACCGACAATGTTTGTCGTCAGGAGGTTGAAAATTGCGAAATTAGAGAAGCTGTTGGGACTGCAAAGAAGAGAGGCAGTGACAAAATCCCAAAGTCTCCAAAAGCCAAGAAACCTAAGAAAGCTCCTAAGCCTCCTAGAGAAGATTGTGGGCGATCATTACATCGTCCTAGGGCTCCCAAGAAAGCTGCAGAGATTTTCATCAATGGAAGGAGTTTGGATCTTTCAAAGTTTCCCATACCGGTTTGCACATGCACCGGAACTGCTCAGTATTGCTATCGGTGGGGTGCTGGGGGATGGCAGTCTGCTTGTTGTACAACTGGCATGTCAGTGTATCCCTTGCCTATGAGTACTAAACGACGTGGTGCAAGGATTGCTGGACGGAAGATGAGTCTGGGGGCATTTAGGAAGGTTTTGGAGAAACTTGATTCTGAAGGTTTTGACTTATCTAAATCAATTGACTTGAAGAATCACTGGGCCAAACACGGAACGAATAAGTTTGTCACAATCCGGTGAATGTATGGTGGAACTGCTGCGATTTGACATCATAAAGCGGGCAGTCCATTTCTGCTGTACATACATGAGTTTGACCTGAAGTAAAGGCCTCGCAGATAACATCTAATTGGGTAAAAATTTTGGAGTAGCGTTCCTTGTTCTTTGTTATTCCTTTGAGGTTTTATGGGGAAAAAATATGTTATTTGTTCATTTCGTTTTGTGGTTACTGGAAACAAGGCTCGTCTATCTTTGTTAAGATTCACTTTGTTATGTTGTCGGGTTTCTCAATCAAATCTAAGTGGTTGGAAGCTTGGTTACATAGTTAAATGTTGCTTCTTACTTTGTTTTATTGATCTCTTTCTATTCTTGTTATTTTCCATTTAGGTATAGCTTTCCAGTTCTGATTGAAGATGCTTCTGTTCTTTATCATTTTAAAGCAATTAAAAACACTATTTCTTCGCTAATATCATCCACAGACTAGTGGATTTCCACTAAGTTACTTGCATTTTTTATGCCCCTTCTAGACATGAAGAAGTTTGTGATAAGGAAAAGGAAAGTTATAATCTAGCTTATTTGCTGTGATAAGTTTACTGTTGAAATATTAGATGGTCCTGACTCCTGAGGTTGTTTCCTTCCCTCTATTTGTCCCTTGTAAAATTCATGATAGTGGATTAGTTGTTCCCTTGCTGAAGCGATGTAAAATCATTAATGCAATGTGTTCGAGGCCAAAGGTAAGAACTCATCTCATCCCTTGCTTAAGTTGATAAACCTAACTGTTTTCAAGTCTGCTAATAGTAAATGTAACTTCAAGTGCTGCATTCTTTCATGAATATATGAATTGGACAGGGTGAAGATTAGCGCTGGGGCTAAAACAATTCTTTCTCTTTTATTAGGATTTGAGATCCTTAAATTCTTCGCCTCAACCTTTCCAGAAGTGAAAACTGATGGGGAGGGAAACAGAACAGGGAAGAAGTTCAATAGAGTGTTATTATATCCTTAGTGCCTAGCTGCTGGGGTGTTTCAGTGACGGGCAAGGCTGTTAGGTTTAGAGTTGTTAGTTGTTGCCAATTTTCTTGATGGCTTTTAGTTCTGAAGTGGAAGGATGATTTGAACTCAATAGCCTAGACAAGGATGTTGAAACATGATTTGAGTTTGCCCAATGGCTCTTTGCGCAATAAATGTGCATGTCTCTTGAGTGATTTAGTGTTTAGTCTTCACACATCCTATCAAGAACTTGACAATTTTTCCATGAAATAATACGAAAACAAGCTAGATGTAGAAGGTAATCTTCTTGAAATTGCTAACATGCATTTTAGGTTTTGTGATGAAGGACTAGTCATGCATTAGAGTTTAATTAAGTTATACTGAGGTTCTTATATGAATCCCATTGGCTTGTCGCAATGCACATTTTATTATTCTTGTTATTAATTAAACAATGAGTGGAAAAGGCTCTATATTAGTTAAAATACAGGGAAAGGTTTTATACAAATGTAGAAGATCTGTGTTTTGACAAATAGAAACAGGACTAGTTATGTTTGGCTTTCAGATGAAAAGTTTGTTACTGAAAAGAAGGGTACTTTCATGTCATGTGATGCTGAATGATGCTGTTTTCCCATGATTTTGAGTGGGTGAAAGTCCGTCTTGATGAGCACCAAGATCTTTTCCTTGTAGCAGAAGTTATGCAGTATATCCATCGTGTTAGGAAACCTACCATTTTCAACCTATCAATTTGGGACTCTTGAGTGGCCCTTTATGCGACTGAGTTCGCTGTATAGGAGTTACCATGAATTTTGAATAGAATGCACATCTTCCATGGTAGAATATACTTGCCACCATAATTTGCAGCTGGTTTTCCCAACTTCTCTATCAAAGAATGGTGTTTTGTGTGCTATCTGAGGTCGAAGTTACTTTGTTTACTGGGAAATAGATAAGAAGCGTTGGGGGATAATTTCTTAAAAATGAGATTACTGATCTCTGATAGACTGTTAACTGTTCCGTGCCACAAGATGTGATCCTTTTTTTTGGGAAAAAAAGTGTTCATACCCAAAGCTTTGGGCTCATCGTTAATTCTACCCTATTGATTTTTAGTTAGCCAAGTTTGTCCTTACTGTTTAAAATTTTTGTCAATTCCGCCCAATTGTGTTAATTTCTGTTAAACTTTATCGATATCCATTAATTTTTAACCAAAAATATCCCCATAATTTTAGAAAATTATAAAAATAACCCAAAAAATATAAAAATCACAAAATAGTCCCATTTTATTCATTTTTTTCTATTTCATTTTATTTCTCTTTACTACTTTTCATAACCATCAAGATATGCAATATGATCTTTAAAAAAATAATTATTTATTTTCAAACCCCTTTTTTTATTTGCAACACATGTGAGTTGGGTCTAGGCGTAATTTTGTCATTTTAATATTTTTAAATTTTTCAAATTTTGAATTTTATTTTTTTATTCATCATTTTTTGAGATTCTTTTTCTCATATTTCTTGACTTGTATAAACTGATACTATTATAATTATTAAATTTCAGTAATTAATTTACCTTTTTATTTCATAGATTATAAAAAATTAAGATAAAGAAAATGAGGAAGAAAAAATCAAGTTGAAATAAACATAAAAATTAATAATTTATCATTCTAAACGAAAAGCAAAAAAATCTAAAAAAAACTCTGCAAAGACAAGTCTTTCTTCCTTGACTTCATCTGATTCATAGGTGAGTTACAAAACATAAGTTTTACTTGATCTAGCCTAAAATGATTATTTTGTTCGTTGTAATAGAAATTATATAAAAGTTAGACAATCATTTGAAACATGAAAAGGTGCTAATTTAATTAGTCCACAACAATGAATTTCTATGAAATATGTTTAGTACTATTTTTATTTTTTTTAATAATTTTTTTTTGCCAATTGGCGATTGCTAAACTATATAAGCAATCATTAAATTTAATGATAAAGATAAATACGTGTATTTTTTTAGTAGAATAATTACTAAATTATACTATCTGACTTGTATATGTTGGTACTAGAATAATAATTACTAAATTTCAAGAAATAATATACCTTTTATTTTTTGATGTTTAAAAAATATTAAAAAAATACACTGTCATGAAATTCAATAATTACTTATATAGTTTAGCAATCGGCAAAAAACAAAATTATTAAAAAAGAATAAAAATAGTGTTAACCAAATTTACAGAAAAAAATTCATCGTTGTGGACCAATTAAATTAGCACCTTTTCATGTTTCAAATGATTGTCTAATTTTATATTATATTTATTAGAACAAACAAAATAATCATTTTAGGCCAGATCAAGTAAAATTTATGTTTCGTAACTTACCTATGAATTAGAGGAAGTCAAGGAGGAAAAACTTGTCTTTGCAGATTTTTTAAAGGTTTTTTTACTTTTTGTTTAGATGAATAAACTATTAATTTTCATGTTTATTTCAACTTGATTTTTTCTTCCTCATTTTCTTTATGTTAATTTTTTTTTATAATCTATGAAATAAACTAGTATCAATATATACAAGTCAGAAAATATAAGAAAAAAAATCTCAAAAAATGACGAATAAAAAAAAATTCTCAAAATTCAAAAAATTTAAAATGATAAAATTACCCCTGCACCAACTCACATGTGTTGCACATGAAAAATAGATTTTAAAAATAAGTAATTATTTTCTTAAAGATCATATAATATATTTTGATGGTTATGAAACATAGTAAAGAGAAATAAAATGAAATGAAAAAAAAAGAATAAAAAGGAACTATTTTGTTATTTTTATATTTTTGGAGTTATTTTTACAATTTTTTAAAACTATCAGGGTATTTTTGGTTAAAAACTAACGGAAATCCATTAATTTTAACAGAAATTGTGCCAATAGGGCAAAACTGACAAAAATTTGAAACAGTAAGGAAAAAATTGGCTAACCAAAAATCAATGAGGTAAAATTGACGATGAGCCCGAAGTTTTAGGTATGAACACCATTTTTTTTTCCCCTTTTTTTGGTTAACCATGATGTCAATTCATTATTAGGTTTCTTGCTACAAAATTGCCTTGTCTCACAACATGAGTCTCAAGGCCATTGCCTAAAAGCACCTTGAAATTTGATTACTCTTTTTGCTGTCAATTGTCTTGCATACATTGAGTTTCTTCTCTTGACACAACTTCTTGGTGTCAACTGTCAAGTTTTGTGGTATGAATGCACTTAGGAATTGGGTACTGTGTCATTTTAACTTTCAGTTTGGTACTTCGTGGATATGTAAGACTTTTGGAAAGATACTAGCCACGGTCTGTTTATTTGCAATACCATTTCCGTGTTTGTCGATGAGTGCCGCAACCATTTTGAGTGGGAAGATAGCTGCCTTCATATGTATGTAAAATATTCAGCATGTGCCTTTAGTTTTTTCAATCTCTTAATCAAAAGCCTGGAATTTCCATTTCTTTCTGAACTGATTTTCTACCTAAAGATTGCAGTCCAGGCAACTTGATAGTTCATTTGTCAATCGTATGGATATGTTTGATTTAGTTCCCGAATAACCTCATTCAATGTGATGTTTTTAGATTATAACCAGTAAATAACTTCTTATAGCCAACGACATTAAGCTGCTAGTTTAGATACTCTAAAGATTTGCCAGTTTGCTTTGAGTCAAAATACTGTCAAGTTATGGCAAAGAGCTTGCAAGTATTGTCAAAATATTTTTACTGATTTGGTCGTAAAAAGCTGGAATTGTTATCCTGATTATCATCCAATCGCCAGCCTCACTTTGTTGAGCTATTTTCCTCCTTTTTTGAGTTATATATTCCTTTATTTTTGTACAGAAGGAGAAATTTTGATACTCTAAAGACTAACTAGTTTCTTGAGTGAAAATACTGCTAAAATATGAAGAGAGGTTGGGTGTTTGTTTCTACATGCTATGCAACTTTAATAAAGCAAAAAAGTTCTACATATTTGTTTTAAAAAACGAGAACTGTGATCTTGATTACCCATTTACTTCCGTTTTCCTTTGTCGAACCTTTTTTTTTTGTTTTTCTTTTTCTCTCTCATTCTGGAAGTATACGAAAATATTTTTTGAAGATCTGAGTGGGGAGATCTAATTTTGTTCAAGGAAGACTCAAGGTTTTTTGGGGCCTAAGGCAAGTTGTGAAATTGAGATTGATAGATTTCTTGGATCCATCTTTTCTCTATTTTTCATAAAAAGTAATGAGACCTTTTAATTAATCTATAACATAAAGAAAGTCATATATGAATGTCGAGTCGATTTTTGTTTTATTTTTGGTAATTGGTCAATATTTATTAGTATTAAAATTTTTCAATATATATATATATATATATACACACACACACACAAAAACACACACACACACACACAGATATATATATGTGTGTGTGTGTGTGTTGTATGTGTGTAGCTATGTATGTATGTATATACTATGTATATATACACATACACACAAAATATATATATATATATATATATATATATATATATATATATATATATATATACACTCACTGGGGCGCCTCCCAATTTTGAGACCCTAGTCGATGACTTATTTTACTTAATGGGAGAGCACCCCCTGATTTTGTTCACCAGCAAATATGATCGAGAGCTGATAGTTGCTCTCAAGTTTTCAAAATAGTGTAGAAGACCGTAGTCCTAATCTAACTGAAGTCGTAATCAAACTAATTAGATAAACCTAACCAAGTAGATAACTCATAAAGTGGGTTAAACATAAAAAAATAAAAAAAAAAAGTTCTTGGATTGCAGCACAAGTAGTGACAATTATTTTTAGAAGTCGATTAGCCATTCAGTTTACTTGTTTAAGAGAGGAAATGACTTATCAGGAAAATATGAAACGTGTGTATAAATTAATGTATTTGCTATAAAGAAAATTGTGACACGTACACTTGAATTTATTAGAAATACACAAATACTATTGAGTAAACAGCTTAAATGATCCTTTAAATTTTGCAGAAAATTTAATTTGGTCCCTTACATTAAAAATTTACTGATTTGGTCCATTACTTTTGTCTTTTACACTAATTTAATCCTTTTTACTTTTTTTTTTTGGCCATTTACATTTGTGGGTTTCCTGGTTGACCATATCTTGGTCAAGTCAACAGGGACATTTTTAGTAATGAATAATTTTTAAATTTCAAATTTTTAAAGAAAAAATAAATTGATTAAAAATAATATTAAAATTTAAAAATTCAAAATGAAAAATAAAAAAGTTCCAAATTCTGAATTTTTTTTCCTGTGGGCCACATTAAAGTGAATCCTCACTGTAAATGAAAGTGTTGACCGAGGTAGGGAGAAAAAGAAAATTACAAAATAAGGATAATAAGTAAAATTTTTGATGTGGCCCGCGGAAAAAAAAAATCAGAATTTTGAGTTTTTTTATTTTTCATTTTGAATTTTAAATTTTAATATTACTTTAATCAATTTATGTTTTTTTAAAAAATTTTGAAATTAAAAAATTAGTCATTACTGAAAATATCCCTGTTAACTTGACCAAGATATGGTCAACCCGAGAACCCACAAATGTAAAGGGCCAAAAATGTAAAAAGGACTAAATTAGTGTGAAAGACAAATGTAATGGACTAAATTAACGAATTTCTAATATAAAGGACCAAATTAAGTTTTCTGCCAAATGTAAGGGAACATTTGAGCGTTTTACTCAATTAAAGAAAAAAACTAATTGTTGAGATACCCATCACGAAATATATGTCACAATATATGTGTATATAGCTAAAGTGGAGAGTCCCAATTGTATAAGGTTACCAAGTGAGATGTTTTATTTTTTTAAAAAAACATCATAATCCTATCTCAATGGATAACCAAGAGATGAGCTATTCTCAAGTCTTCAAAATTAATCAACCCTTAACTATAGCTATTATATTTACACAGCGATAAACATATCCATTTATTTGAACCATTAAAAGAAAAAAAACACATAATCTACGGTAAAAGATTATATCATCTTTTCAGAGTTTGAACAACGTAAGAAGTCTTTCAGACAAAGAGATAAAACCGTGTATGAATTTTAGGAAAAGTATATTCCAATGATGGTATGAATCTATATTTGTTTTCCAGCGTTTTTGAATAAAAATGGAGACTGAACTGCCAATGTTGAAGAAATTCCCATCGATTCGACCAAGACTCGATTCGGGTCATTCGGTTATCTCAAGAGAAGATGATTCCGACATTGATCAAGATCTTAGGTACACAAGCTTGAAAGATTTGCTCCTGACTTCATCCCCTCGGCTTCTGGGCTCAACTGAAGGAAGCACTTTTGATTCTTCCACCATTTCGATCCGCAACGAGCTGGTTAAACACGCGGCTTCGGCTTACATCCAGTCCGCGACGATTTCCGGGTCCAGCCGGAATCAAGATTATTGGCTCTCCGAGCTTTGTGATCGCCTCAATTCTCACTCGGCTTCTCGTTCTTGTTGGCATGTTTATGTTAGGATCCCGCTGCGCGCTTGTTTTCGTCCGGTTTTTAGGTTTTTCGATTATGTTATCAATGGTCTTGGAAGAAGTGTTTGTTACTGATGATGATGATGATGTTGTTTAGAAATTTAGGTTATTACAAGATTTCATATTTGGATCTTGTTTTTTCAGGTTTTTTTTTTCCTAGTGTGTTTTGGACTTTAACCTGTAAAGTTCTTTATTTTAGTGAAAGTTTCAGATATGTATAGTTCACTTCATCTTGCATTTGAAAGTTTCGGATTTTTGGGTAAAAGAAACCCAATGACAATATAATTGATCGCCACCGATGGCTCCTCGAGTTTTAGCCCTCCGATGATAAAGTTAGTAACTTTATTTGAGTATTTATATGCTTTTTCAATGAAATTGCGTGCCTGAAACCCAAGTATTAAGTTAGTATTGATACTAGATAGAGAGTGATCACGGCCATTGAGATGGGTTGGTGATTGCCGGACGTGAAGAATCACAGCGGGTTCATGATGGGTTATGCGTCGCCCGACACCGCAATCATATACTTCGAATCAGAAAATCCCATGTTGGATGCCAATGTGCTAGAGCCAGCCTCGCATATATTGTGTTGTATACTCCTCCATTGATCAATTATTATTGATAAAATGATTGATTATACTTTATAGGTCTCGTGATAACTGTTATCCAAACAGCGAAATCATGTCTCCAGATCGGCTTTCGATGAACTCAGTCTTCCACATATCATAAGCATCAAAGATAAAAATTCAAGAAAGAACACGATGTAAGATTAGTTGGCCGCGAAAAAGTTTCATTTCGAAATTCACAATGTATGGAAAAAAAGTTGAAAGTTCAATAACATTAAATAATTATTCTTTGGATTTTGGATTTTTTTTTTAGGATGCATTTTGATGATTGTTGATATTCTGTAGAACTTTTTATCTTTGTTTGTTTAGTTTTTTTTTTAATAATTTTTTTAGATTAATAAAATAATAACTGTCACATTCCAATATATTTTTTTACATTTTCAATACACTTTTTTACAATCTTAATAGAAAAAACACCTAAAAACACACACTAAAAAAACGAAACAAACATACCCTTTGTTTTTAGATAGCCATGAGGCAGATTAGGGCCCTTTGAAATACCACATCTATCTAGTTATGACCCACTTATAAATGGGCAGCTGCATATTTTGACCCACTATATAAGATGGGCACCAAGTCGAAGTTAAGTACAATAACCATTGGACTTTAATCCCAATATAACCCAAGAAGAAGTGCCAAATGTACTATTTGTAGCCTTGTAGGCGCAAGAAAAATTGTCATTCACCTGCATTTGGCTAATATTGCCATTTGGATTCGTATTATAGGTCATCTGGTAACAATTTATAATACAGCATGATTTTCTACTTTTAATCGCCCGCGGTACGATTATCATACTGCCTGATAAACATAATTTCTTTGAACTTTTCGTTCACATTTTTTGACACATTCTAATTTCATCATGCTCTACACATGAACAAGCCTCACCATTTACACATTTTGCATCATTTTTTTTTTCACTTTTTTGAAAAGCCAAAGCCTTCAAATTGCCTTAAACACAAGTTTGCATGGAAAGTTGTGCTTGGGATTTCAATAAGTTATGCTTCACTAATTTTGTTTCTTATGAAACTTCACATGTTCTTAACTTTCAACTTTTTTCAAGAAGAATAGAATGGCACATTGTTAGTACAATATATGCAACATGCCCCATGCTCCCTTTATTCTTATTTTGGATAGTGAAGAGAATTACATGACTCAGAAATCACAATATATTAGAATTTAGTACAAAGGGGTGAAAGTAGTACTTGAGGTTATACACAATATTAGGGACAATGAACTATACATATAGCATAGGTTCTTCTCTCCCTCCCTCTCCCACCCCCCGCCCCCACTTTTCGTCTCCTTTGTCTTTAATCTTTTTGGTTTCAAATTGTTCTTTCTTTTTTCTTGTGTAAAGTTGGTGTCTTCTACAACTCATGTACATGTGCTCTCATGCATTGATCTCAATTAACTTTTTTTTCTTTCTTTTGTATTATATGGAATTTCTCATCTCATACACCAAAGACAAACTGTACTTAATTTAGGAAAGTAACGGGGATGCATATTTCCAAAAGTAATTTTGTTGCATAAAAACATTTTTATATATTCTTTTTAAGATGGGGACCAAGTAAAGATGAGTAAAATCACACTCGAGATCGCTGATAAAGTATTTTCAAAAAATAGGTTTAATGTTGAATTACGGGTATTCACGTGAATCGTAGATACCTATAGATAGAAGAGAAACCGAACTTACCTTATTGATTTGTAGGGAGTTAAACTCCAAAACCTCTTCTGAATTTAACCATTGAAACCCACAACCTCATACGGGACAAAAAGATTTTCTTTTCATATATAGAGGGGCTAATAAAAATAGAATATATATATATATATATATATATATATGTTCAACATTCTTTTGGATTAAGTATATATATAGACAATGTATTAACATTACGGGGTTGAGATCTGTATATGTAACTCCGTTCCACTCTACAAAGTTTTTATAGACATTACTGATATCTTAAAACGGAGCACTGGATCAGAGTATCTCTAATGTGATTTGCTCTACCTCTCTTATATACGTATACGTATCTTGCATTTTGGCCAAACAAAAATGCTCATAATCTTTTTTGTTTTTTTAATAGGTAGAAACAATTGTCATATTCTCGAACTAAATCCCTGACGAAAGTCTACAAAAATTCCCATACAAGCAGCCGCTAACGAAGCCAAACTATACTGTAATATGGATTTCTGTGCTTGTTAAATTTATCTTCTTAGTTCATCTTACAAGTTTTACGATTACATATAATAATGTAGTAAATTACATCACAAAATACCTTAACATGAAAGGAAATTCTTTTAATGTATCTGAGGTTTTCACCTCAAATTTTCCTAATGATATACACTAATAAGTTTTATGTGAATAATCTTTCTCAAATAACTATTATTTTTGGATGTAATTACTGATGTCTGATGCTATATCAATACTTCATCGATTTCGTTATCGGGTAAAATGACCATAATTCAACTCATCCTCCTCTATACCCCCTTATAATTTCTCTGACATTTGGTGTGGGAGTCTCATCTTACATATTAAGGGAAAGAAACAAATAAAAAAAAAAAAAGAAAGAAAGAAAAGACTGTTAAGACGTGAAAACTTACTCACATTTCATTTTAACTTTAATTAACAAAGTGAACGGACTGTTGTTTGCATATTGGGATTTTCAATAAACTGCCGTGATCACGAGATAAATAATGACATTGTAGATTATTATTTAGATTAAAACAAGCAAATAAAAAAAATAAAAATAACTGTAAGTGTAAATTGTTATTAATTACCGCACGAGAAGGTCCGGTTTAAACCTCGTTCACAACTCAATTTTACCAAACCAATAAAATAATAGAGGGGAAAAGGGTAATGAAGAGTAAAATATTTGGGTTATAATTTAATTTAATGTGTTGAGAGAATGGGGACATGATGGGGAGTAGGATTCTCTCACACATGCAAGCATCCAGAAGAGAATGTCTTTTGCAATCATCGCACCCAATACATAGTTTCCAATTCCCATCCAAATCTAATCATATTTTGTCATTCTAAAAAAACAATTAACTCATTAAGTACAATTAATTAATTAACTTCAATTAAACAAATCTCAATCTCTCTGGCTACTTTTCTTTTTGTACTAATCGATTAAAAAAAACTCGTCACATATGCATGCTTCACCACCCACCTTTTTGAACTATTCATGTATAGGATCTCTGTTTTCTTTTGCTTTTCAGAAAGTTTATGTATAATTAAAATATGTATCTAACTCAACTTTCTTGGTTATGTTTAATTAAGAGCGTGTCCAATGTTTATTTTAATTAGCCTTTGCCATCCGGTGTACATGGATGCACTGTTCAAGTGTCATGATAACATTATGTCCTCTAAGTTATGGAAAAACGATCGTCTGTGTGATACGACTCATAACACTGTGTTTTAACTTTTAACACTGTTATTACAACAAAGTGATACAAAATATCGACAGCGTCAGATACATTATTGATGTTAGGGTAAGGTTATTATCGGTTTTGTATCTCAGTCTCCATTCTATATAATTTTAAGATTGAGATGTTCTTTAAAATTCGTGTTCCTTCTACTATAAGATTCTTATATTGGAACGGAAAGAAAGCAGCCTAATTGGGAGATTAGATTAATTAACTGAATTGACCAAACTAAAGATAAGGGTTTATATAGTGTAATGATGTGATGAAAAAGAAAATTGTGGTATGGATTAAGGAGTGTTTGAAATGTGGAGCCCGCAATCTTTTAAGTCCGGCAGCCACCAAACAGGACGCCACATTTTAGGTGTCGGGAGAGAGAGTATCCTTTTCCTCCTTCAGATTCCTTTTATCTTTGGGGAATAATATTCTTCAGCTGCCTCGAGTTTTTCTTTTTCTTTAACCCCGCATATTATTTCCATTTTTTTTCTCGACTACGAAAGTAATAATCATCATGTATTTATTCAATCAAAATATTACTGAAAAAATAAATCATTATTGTCGACAGTGAACATTTTATTACATAAAAAAAAAAATAAATAAGAACGCAACTTTGAAGGATACATTCCAAAGATGATTAAAAAAAAAGAAAGATAGATATAAATCGGGGAGTATGTAGTTTATGTTGGTTTTCATCTGAATTAGAAAGCAGTGAAAGGAATCAAAGAGCTTAATAACAAAGTTACAAATGTTTGTATTCATAGAGTTCCATTCCATATCGCATCGTATATGCAATGTACAATTTGTCCCTTACCCTAAGTACTCTCCATCAGAAAACATTTTGTTGAGAAAAATAAAATAAAATAATAGTACGTCTCTCGGGATTTAATTAATTAATAATGAAAATCTTTTTCTCCCTAACATATACCGAATCGTCCCTTTCTTAAAACAAATTTCGGGAAATTTCCTACATTTAGTCTGTTTATGAAGCTGGAATGCGATATTTAAAAGCCACATATCTTGTCACCTTGTATGATGATATATGGTTAAATAGTCATATCAAATGAAAGTCTGACACCCAAATTATATGTAGGTCAACTACATCAATGGAGACCAATCTTAGTACCGCAGCTACGATAATCACTTTTCATCCCTCCACTAATAACATATACACTTCCAAACGATTTTTAGTGTGTGTGTGCGTTTTTTTTTTCCCCCTTTTTTCCCTTCTAACATTAGAAATGTAGAAGTATGTACATATACATGTGCAGTAGATTAAAAAACTTGGAGAAGAAATGAAAAGAAAGGAACATGGATGGAGGGAATACGAAAGATGATAAGTAGTAAAGGATTATAATCATGAGATTGAAGACTGAAATTCTGAACAAACGTTTGAGAACAAAGCCAAAGATTTTCTTCTTCTTCTTCTTTTTTTTTTTTGGTAACAAAAGCCAAAGATTTTCACTTAAACTATAGGTATACTACTGCCTCTCAAGACCGTCAATTTCCTTGCATGTCTTTTCAATATGTACGCTTAAGTACAATTACAGAATGCATGCAAGTTGCAACGGGTGGTCATGTACATTTTTTGTATTAAAAAATATTTTTCCTGTTCTAAAATAATTATTCTTTTAAATTTTAGTTCTTAATATAATTTATACTAAAAGTGATGAAAATTCAAACTGGACTGTTTGCTCTATTAGTCATGGATATTTTTCTTTTATAATTAAAAAACATAATTTATACCTCTATAAAACTGAGTATCCGTTTAGGATTATTTCCTTTGTGTGTGGGTGGGTTCGTCGGACATGGTATCTTTTCGAAATTATAATATTGTAATTATTTATTTTTTCTCCCATAATTTGATACATGTCAAAATGCATTTTTAGGTAGAAATCCGCTTTTTCTTTTTCAAGGATTTTTTCATGCATGATTGCATGTCGTTGATGATTAAGATGTGCATATAAATTTTAAAAGTACTGAAAATTCCTCAATTTACATACTATGCCTAAACAAAAATAAAACATTTGTCACTAGTTAAAACAAAATGAATTACGAAATGGTAATTAATGAGCTATTGGTTGCAACAATTCTAAATTTTCAAGCTCGGTTAACTGCATCTGTAGCAGTTAGTTTATTGTTAACCTCCATTAACATATTTACATAATCATATTGGTGCTTTTTATATTCTTTTCAATTTTTATTTTTTTTAAAGATGCATATGTGTATTTAAAAAGCAAAATGTAAAACATAATTTCTTGTACTGAGAAAAAGAAGTTAAAAAAATTGGAATCAAATGATGAGAGGAAGGAAGCACATAGTAATGGAAGAAGGTCTGGTAGCTGCAGAGATGATATATACACACACATTTGGCCCCCACTCAGCTAAAAAAAGACAATTCTTCCCCATTTGCTATAAATCTCTTTTCTCCGCCACCCCCACCCCCCCCCCACTGTTTCATTGATGCATATGTTTACCAAAAGGAAAATTAAAAAGTGAACAATCCTTTTAGGCAGTGGTGCCTTGTGGGTAGAAACCTCTTCAATGAATTTACCGTTGTAGCCTTCACAATTTGTTGACCTTTGACCAGATCATTACATTCCAAAAAGCTGCTCCATTTTACTTCCTGAAATCATTATTATTTATTGCTATTTACTATTGGTCTGGGTTGTGGTCAGACAAGAAAGGGGACAAAGTTGTAATTCTATCATCACCATTAGTGGGAGTGCAAAAATATACTAGCCATGTTTCTCTCCAGTTGAAAACAGTACAATAAAAAGGACTTTTGTTTTGGGTTAGATATTGTAAATATTTATTTTTAGTTTATTTCTTGGAGGGAGAAAATCATTAATTGCTATACATACTCCTGAATTTATATAAGAAAAAATACTTAACTTTTGAGGAAAACGATTGAAAAGTATAGGATACCATGGTAAACCAAATTCCAGCATATATTACATTTCTTAAATATTTAAATAGGTAGGAGTAGGACTCAAATTGGAGGTACCCACTTGAGTAAAAGAGAAACTGCCATAAGTAGAATGAAACTATAATTGACTAAAGTGATGTATATATAAAAGAATAGTACTAATTAATTAAGAGCACTTTGCTCTATTCCTTCAAACTTAAATACATACATGTATACGACTAATTTTCTTCAAGGGAACGGGTATATAAGGGGAGAATTTGAGTAAGAATATGGAATTGTATGAAGAAATTAATTCATTGTAATTCATGATCGCTTTCTGCAATGATTCGAACTCGTGATCAGTTAAATAGCATGGCGAATTACACATACTGTCTGCATATATAGAGTTTCGTATGTATAAATGTATGTGTGTATGCATATACATGCATGGAGGAATTAACAGCTATATATACACAAAAAAATATATAAATAATGAGAAGTTTTGTTTGTTAGTGGGAAGATGTTTTCTTTTAGACCCAATTGATAGTTGCTGGATCAAGTTTTGGAGCCATATGATTGGATCAAGGACTTCGAAGCCTCCACACCAAGAATATATAACCAAAAAGAACTCCCTAGTCCTAACTCTCTCCCAATTTAATCTTCATCTTCTTCCTCCTCCTCCTCCTCTCTGTTCCTCCTTCTAGCTCCACCATTTATCCTTTTCCTTCCTCTCTACTGTATATATCTATACACTTCTTCAGATGATGAAAAGCGGAAAGAGGCCGGAGAGCTTAGCATAAGATCAAGAAGGCCATGGCTGTAAAGCAACTTTGAGAGAGGATTGGATTGGATTGGAAAAAAAAAAAAAGAAAGAAAGAAGAAAAGCTGTAGAAAGAAAGAAAGCTAAAGCTGATCACTACAACCGAAAGAAAGTTATCTTGCCTTTTCTTTTGTCTTTCTAACTAGAGAGAGCTAGAGCTTATAGCCATATCTTCCCACCTTCTCATCAATTCTTTCTCACATGGTTTTGTTATCCCCTTTCTATCAATAGCTTCCCAAGTTCAAGAATCAAAAAGGGTCGAAAAAAAAATAATAATAAAAATCCAATGTTTGGAAATACTAGTAGTGCTAATCACAATAATCCCTCCTCATCTTCTGACCCATTTTCTTCTCAAGAAAATGGAAACAATAGTAAGAGAAAAAGGCGGCCAGCAGGAACTCCAGGTACATATATACATCTATACATGCATACATACATTTTCCTTGAAGCGCGACCACAGTCTGACGGGCATACCCTCGATTTTATTTTATTGATGTTTGTTTTAGATCCGGATGCCGAAGTGGTGTCTTTATCCCCAAAGACACTACTGGAATCGGATCGATACGTATGCGAGATCTGCAACCAAGGATTTCAAAGGGACCAGAACTTGCAGATGCACCGGAGGAGGCATAAGGTGCCTTGGAAGCTGCTGAAGAGGGAGACACCGGTGGTTAGGAAGCGTGTTTTCGTGTGCCCGGAACCGAGTTGCCTCCACCACGACCCGTGTCACGCTTTAGGTGATCTGGTTGGGATAAAGAAGCATTTCAGGAGGAAACACAGCAATCAGAAACAATGGGTTTGCGAGAAATGCTCCAAAGGCTATGCTGTTCAGTCTGACTACAAAGCTCATCTGAAAACTTGTGGTACCCGTGGCCATTCTTGTGATTGTGGTCGTGTTTTCTCAAGGTCTGTTCTCTTTTGTTTTTTCTTTTATCTTTTTTCTTTTTCTTTCTGAATTCTTCTTCTTCTTCTTCAATGGTGGTGTGTCTGTTGGATGCCGGAAACCGGGTTCGGCTTGCTTTTTTATATACAGTTCAACAAAATGGACTATTAACGTTTTTCTCTGGATAGAAAGTTTAATCAAATGAAGAGCTTTAAATGCTGGTTTTGATTTCCCAAGATCTTATCAATCAATCATCCTCCCTTTTTAACTCTTTATTTGTTTTTGTTATTTCCACGAGAGAATGTATGGTTTGTGAAAGGTTTGAACACTTTCTTGGCTTTTTTTACAAGTTTTTAGTACATCAAGATTTTGCTTGTTTTCAAGTGATTCTTTCAATGGGTTTTTTTTTTTTTTTTTGTTTTGAGAGGGAGGAAACATATGAATATAAAAAATTGTTGAAACAAAAGAATTAAGGAAGATGCAGGAGAATTTGGATTTTTTTTTTTTAGGGACCTTATGGTTATGGCGGCCAAATAATTTATTTATTTTGGGTGTAAGTTATAACAGTTTACTGACAGTTAACCAAAGCTTTCAAAGCTGAAAAACACATAGATCATTGTGCTTCATACTTTAATTAATTAATTAAAGAAAAAAAAATAAAGATCTTCTCTAAGTGTCTCATTCCAAATCCATTTCTTTAATTTTCTTTTAAAAATCCCATGCGTATATATATGGTGGATTCCTTAGTTATAATCTTGTTTGTTAGTATCACATTCATTTTTTTTAAAAAAAAAAAATATATAAAAACGCACTACATATTGACTTCTTCTGAGATATTCCTTTCTTAATAAAGGATATTGATCATCATGAAGATGTCAAAAGTTTTAATAGATTTTTGTATATACACCAACTATCAATATTCTTAACACATTAAACCAATGTTTGATTATCCAAAACTACATCCTCCTCTGTCCGTCCTAAAATATATACGAGCTCTGTTTATTTTTTTGTAGTATTATTTAAATTTGGAACGAAGTGGAGGGAGTACATTATATTTTGATTCTTTGTGCTTGTTTGCATCTATGATCTATCCCTACTTACACTTAATAATATTGACTTGATATATCATCCCTTTTTATTTGTTTCTAGCTGGTACCCAATATTATTCCATTTGAACATGTCCTTGTTCAACTTTCCCAATACACCAAGAATCATTACAAAATTTTTTTCAAACAAATTTTATCTTCAAAACAATACCTTTCTATCCATTTAACTTCAAAAGAAAAAGAAAAAAATACTTTCTTGCTAATTTATTTTGTTCTATTCATATATATATATATAGGGTGGAGAGCTTCATTGAGCATCAAGATGCTTGTAATATGGGAAGAATCAGATCAGAATCCAATTCTTTACAACCGACTCCAACAGCTTGTCTTTCTCGAACAGCTTCAAGCCCAAGTCCTTCAAGTGATACCAATCTAAGTGCTTCTCCTTGGCCTGTTTTAATGGCTTCTGCCACCAAAAAACCAATGTTATCATCTTCTTCATCCATGGATCCCAAGTTCCTCAACTACCCTTCTGTAGATTCTTCCTCAAACAACAACAAAACCTTAATATCTCCAAACAAAAACTCCCATCTTCCTCATAACTTGGAGCTCCAACTCCTGACAACAAATTCATCATCTCCTTCTTTGGACATTTCCATCTCAAAGAAAGTTGATGATCAGCAAGACCATTCAGCAATGCTTCAGTTGTCGATCGGATCGTCGGATTTCAGCGACAAAAGCGATCATATGGAGACTGCAAATGTAAGCCGGAGTTCAGAAATAAGCAATGAGAAGAGTCATAATAATAATGTTAGTAATATGGAGGAAGTAAGGGAACAGTTGGGAATGGCAATGGCTGAAAAAGCTTATGCTGAGGAAGCAAGAAGGCAAGCAAAGAGGCAGATTGAGTTGGCTGAGCAAGAATTTGCAAATGCTAAAAGGATAAGGCAACAAGCTCAAGCTGAGTTGGAGAAAGCTTTGGCCTTGAAAGAACAAGCCACAAAGCAAATAAATGCCACCATTTCACAAATCACTTGCCATGCTTGTAAAGACAAGTTTCAAGCCTCAGCTTCAAGAAGTACTTCAACAGCAAAACTATCTTCTTCTGCTTTGACAGTTGATCATGCATGAAGTTGTTAAAGTTGACGGGATTGTTCATTCAGAAATGAGAATAATCAATCACCCTCTCTCTCTCTCTCTCTCTCTCTCTCTCCCCATGAACAATGGAGAAGCTGATTTGATATATGAGGAAGGAATAGTTATTTTCTTCTTCTTATTCAAGTTTGGTTTGTCATTTAGATATATATTTTTTGGGTTATTTTTGATGTGGGTTTTTTGATACCCTCAAACTAGTAAGGAGTGTTATGATAATGATGATAAGCCTAGCTATAGAAGAAGTGATTAATTTAAGGAGTATTTGTAATTTGTATCTAAATTAAACTCAATGGTGTAATTTGTTGATTCAATGAGTACATGCATGGGGAAATGATCAAATATACATTGTAGTAAACTAGTATTGTGCTAGCTTCATTTTATCAACCACCACTTTTATATTCATTCCGTTTCGAAATAAGAATTTTGTTTGTTAAATTATATCCGTGCAACACACACATGACTCTATATTGGATTGGAGGGTGTATTAATTTGTCTTTCTTGCACAATTTTTAACACAATTGAGTGGGCTATATACTTTTACTAGCTAGCTTAATCAGTCTAAGCTGAATAAATTAATCATGGTAGTAGTATGGTAGATTTTACGTTTGGACTATTTGAAGATCTTTGTTGGCTGTGGTGGTCAGAAAAAAAAAAAATATGGAGAGAGTGGTGACTAATAAAACTGACCAAAGGGTCAGGCATTAAAGAACAATAGTACTACTCCTCCTACATATATGCTGCCATAAAATAATGAATTGAATAAAGTCTTATAAGAGAGAGAAGAGAAAAAGGAATCAGAAAATGGTCCTTTTACATTCTGCAGTTTCTGAAACACCATATAAATGTTAATAATGAATTGATGGAGAAAAAAAAAGAAGAAATTGGAAGGATGCCATGTTTTTCAGTGCCAAAGTTGAAATGGGTTGATGCCAGACTAGTCCCTCTCAAACAACATACAAAAACAAATTTCATTCATTCATTCATTCATTTTTCTCATTTCATTCAATACTATCACAAAGTCCATCAGAATCAGTGATATGATGATCAGCACCAGAATTTACACAGCATCTTTTCCATTTTTGCAGAGACCAACGCTAAAGCTTCAACTCTGAGTTTATGGGAAACTCTAAACTAACTATTACGTATGGTTGCTGTTGTCCTTTTGCATTTTGCCTTTCTTTTTTCTCCTAACTAAGAACTTGAAAGAAAGGGAAGAAAGAAAAAACCTCCCAATACATATATCATAAGTGGGTGGTCAATTATTAGCCAAAAAGTTCTTCTTTCCATTCATTTTCCCTTTTGACCACTTGGCCTTATGCCCTCTTGTTTCTTTCATATGATAGAGCTAGCATCCAGCCACAAACAAGTTAGCTCCACAATTGTGGAGTTCTGAATTTAAGATAAAATTGGGGTTTGAGTTTTAGTGATTTTCAAGAAGATTATTCTCCGCTCGATATATAGTAAGATCATGTTACATCCATGTATCTCTGCATAAACATAACAGCTTACTCTAATTGAATGAGAATTAATTTGAGTGTGTTATGAATCTTTAATGAAACTTCAAAATACTCGTAAAAGTAAGGTAAAGAACTACCACTACTTGATTAGTAATCAACATTGAAAATTAACTAATGAGGCCCAGATGAAGTTAGTTAATTAATGTCGAACAATTATGATCAGCTGGTTCGAACCCAGAAGAGTTTCATAAGTACTACTTTGAGTTTGAGCTAGTTTTTATAATAAGGTAACCTTGCTTTATGTTGTTTACATATGTACAATAATAGCAGTTCCTCAGCCATCATTAACAAGAAGTAAAACTTTAAAAAGTGCAGTCACTGTAAGCAGCTATCCACGCGACTCAATGTTTAAGATAATATTATTACTGTGGTCTCCATTACAAAGGCTTTAAAAAGGTAAAAGTCTCCAATAAATTGTACGTTTCTTGAGTTTAATAGTATTCGGTTATTAAAAAAAAAAGAGAATTAATTTTTTTGAGACGTATTAATATTTAATTTGTAAAGTGAAAGATCAAATAATAACTACAAACTGTAATTTATTAAGAGTGACCATTTCACTTTGGGAGCTTGCAATCTCTTGGAAGAATGATGGGGTTGTGTGTGTGTGTGTGTTTGTGGACATAATATTGGAAGGGAGCATATGTCTATTAATTAAGGAGCCTTGGACACACATTCTTTACAACTGTTATAATGAGTTCAATCACTTGTTGTTTGTATGTTGTAGCCCAGAAAGGGTCCCTTGGTGTAATTTTTTAAAGGGAGGGGAAAAAAAAATAATATGATGGAAATGAAAACAAAAACCCTATATGGGTACAATCAATTACAACAAGACAATCAAGAAAATGCCAACTTTTGTTGATCCTTTGATTAGACTTGCACCCGATGGACAACTTTTATTGCTCACATAAAATGCATTACAAAACTCAACTAGAAGGTGCTAACAATGAGTGAGATGAGAGGAAGAGGGGTCATTTATTAATATGTTAGGGAGGAAAAAAAAAATTCTATTTTTCCAAAATATAGTTTGCCTTTTTTTTGTTTTTTTTTTTTTAATAATGTTCTTGTCTTCTTAGATATTGTCCTTCTTTACGTACCATTTTATAAAATACTTTCTCCCTTTTTTTCCTAACCATATTAAACATTTTGTTCCTTTCTCATTTTAGCTATTACCATTGGGGAAATGTACTGATATAGTATATCGGAAATTTTGAGAGAAAAAAACCTGTAAAGGAATAATATAACTAAATATAAACTAGACACGTAGTTTTATATTGATAAACTTGACGAAAACTATCGTTCAGGTCATTTTCATTGAGAAAATCATAACTCTTATTAAAGAAATTTCCCTAAAAGGAGAAGAAATGGAACATGGAATAGGCCTCTAGAGATGGCTGTATTCTTTTATCCTTCTAATCAACTCAAAAGCGTTTGTTGAGTCATTACTCCTGTACACAGACTTTACTTCAAAAGGATGGTCAAAAACAGTTACTTGATGCACATCATTTTTGTTTTACAATGGCACTTAACGTTTCACTCTGATTCATTCAATTATTATATTTATTGAAAAGTTGAGTCTTCCATAGCTTCTTGTTGTCTCATGGATAGTAATCTTTTGCTCATTGTAAGGCCACCATTCTATTGGATCATACTTATGCACTGTCTTTTTGTAATGATCTACTAATTAATAAAAACGGGAGAATTACAATGGCTAGGAGAACCGCCGTCGGGGGTTGTCCCTTAGTTTCAACGTGATGTAATAAGGGTAGTATATTTTCGAAATGTGCTAATTTAGGCTTTAACTTCCTTCATTGCAACAAAAAAAGAAATAAAAATAAAAACAGAATATATCTAATAAGTGTCATCGTATTTCATAAAAGAGTTGTAAGAATACCTCTAAAATTAAAAAAAAAATAATGGTCAATGTAAAATGGAATATGTATGCATGATTGAGCAGATTTCTTGGTGGTGCAGTTACTTCGAACAACTCCATTAAGTATTCAAGTTGGGCTAATTAATGTATGGAAAATATGCCAGAATTTATACTAGCCAGAAGTACAAAGCATATAGTAGCCAGCCATAGGGGCAAATCTTATTCTTCGATTTCGTATTGATTTGTGACAATTAATTAAAATAGCTTCTCTTTTTGTTTTTCCTTTTTTTTTTGTTTGAGATTTATAACCGTACCACAATATTATTATTACTGTGAAACGAAGAATTGAGAGGTCGGCTGACGTTCAAGGGCCTACGAAAATAGTGGACGGCCTTCCTGATCAAAGCTAGCTCCAGCAAATATATTAGACCCCATTTGCCCACTATTTTTCTTTTGTCTTAATCTTATAGAAGGTTTATATCTAAGCAACAATCCACGTTGTTTTGTTACCCCAACCATTAAGACTTTTAGTGAATGAAGTTAGAAAACAGAAGAAACGTACGAATTTAAGCGCTTTTCGAGTAGAAAATTATACTCCTTCTGTCCTTAATAGAAAGTATTTTGATTTGTCATAACTTTCTTCTAATACGTATTTTTAATTGACAAAAAAATTTTAAAAATATTTCATAACAATCAATAGAACATAACGAATGTGAAAATACTCTCTTTGTCCCAAAATTATTGTCCAATTTGAGATTTCACTTTTAGTACAATTTGAACTAGAAATGAGAACTCAAATTAGACAATAATTATGGGAAGGAGGGAGTATATTTATAGATTTTTTTTGTTAATTAAAATTGCGTACTAAGTGAAATCCAAGACAAATCAAATGCTTTATATTAAGGACCGGAGAAAAGCATTAAGGACCGGAGAGAGTACATAATTTGCTAATTAAAATAATGTCAATACGTTCTATATTGTTTTCTTTGAATATTAAAACTTCCATGTTTACCTAAAGTAATTCGATCCGTGAGCTCGTGAAAGGTCAACTTAAACCTTAAACGAGACTAGACCTTTGCGTTGTTACATTTGTTGCCATTTCACTTGAATCTACCACCTTGTAACCACATACACATGATATATATATATATATATATATATATATATATATATATAGATATATAAACCATAGGATGGAATCAAATATTAAATAGATCCAATACATTTTGGACCACACTATAATTTCAAAACGTTGAATTACTATTTAGAATCGGTGACACAATCATAAAGTACTAGCAATCCAACTGTACGAAGAAGCTTCAAAAAATCAATAGAGTAAGAGGGTAACGATAAAATTAGAACAAAATCTTACGAATGCAACAGGAGTTGAGTCATGTGATGGGATGATAATTTTTTTTTTTTTTTTTTTTTGGGATGCCTAACAATCTGATATATATCTGTCCCTTTTTTTGTTCATCAGGAGGAGCAGATGCCTTTGTAAAACTGCCATTGCCAGCAGCATATACATCAATTAATTGAGAGAGAATCTAATTCAATAGTCATCCGGATTTTGTAACTCGGACCATGTG